AATTGCTTAATCAAATAATTTATAGGGAAAAACTTTTAAATCAATTATGTAATAACATAATTTAATATAAGTTTAACATGACAGCAAATGTACAACGTTTCGACAAGGTTTTGTCATATTAAAGTTTTTCTTCATTACCCATTTAAGCCGTCTCCAGCCCTTATGTGATACCATATGTTGCATACACAATTACTTAAGAAATTTAAAAGTAAAATTAAATAAACCTCTTTTCTGTCAATTAGCCCCTCAGTGGCACAGCAGTATGTCTGATAAATTACAATGCTAGAAACCGGGTTTCGATACCTGTGGTGGGCAGAGCACAGAAAGCCCATTGTGCTTAACTTCATACAAACAAACAAACTCTGTCAATTAATGGACCAACATTACTACTGTTTTGAGTTCCGCTAGTATGGTATTAAACTTAATTCTTTATATAACTCTAATTGTATCTATAACAACAATATACAATGAAAATGTCCAAAGGCCAGATATAAAAACTAGCGAAAGTAATCAGCTTTGTTTGGGTTATTGGGTTGATAGTGTGTGTATTCTGAACCTATCTTAGCATAAAAGTATAACCTATACAATTTTGTTGCTAAGCAACATGACATAAAAGCCATTGTTGGAACGCATTGTTGCCAAAATGCACTGAATTTTCTATATATTACACTATGGAGATCAGACCTGTATATTAATCACTATAAAGTTCTCTTCTTCTTCTCAAAAGTCCACTTAGGCTCATGCAATTGCTTTAGAATTCAGTTGACAAGCCTAACTATTTTTATTGGAATAGTATCCTTTTATAATTTACTTACGTTGTCACGTGAGCTACCATCGTTGTATCCTGAACTTCCAATAATCATGTGCTCTTTATACTTCCAGTAATCATCTGCCTTTTGTCAAAGTCTACATAAGCTGGTTCAGTTAATTTAGAACACCCTTCGACGAGATAAATTATTCTGCTTATTTCTTTTAAAACTGTTTATCTTACTCTAACATATCACCCTTTAGGCCATTCACTCCCACCCCAGTTACTTTACGTGTTTTTTTTTAAAACTTTTCTCTGTACGAACTTCTCTTTCACGTGACTTTATTTCTACTCTTTTTTTTTCTTCTCTCATCTGGTCGTAACTATTTATAGGTCTATCACTTAAGCCTTCTAGAAATTTCAATAGCCTCTACATCAGTGGATTGCAAACATAATGTTCTATAGCCTCTACATCAATGAGTTAATAATACTACCTATACTAAACAGTCTTTTACATCTGACACAGACCCACAGACACGTCATTTTATTCTTATAGATAAAATTTAGATTAAAAAGTTCTTTGTTCAATCGCGGGGCTTCTACAAACGTGAATCCGGTGTAGCTGGTCCGCTCGCACCTGACTAAAACAGCCGTTGTGGTTAAACAAAGATATTTTTGATTTTAGTGTTTTGAATACCGAATAACTTATAATTTTCACAAAAACTGTTTATTTGAACGTTATCTTGCAATTTGGCTACCAGTCAATTTTATTAATACTACGAAATTATTATTATTTTGTTGTTTTTGAAAGAACAAAAGCCATTGTCATGATATATTTTTAATCCAGGCGGAATTTCTACATATGGCTTTATTAAATGTTTGATAATTTGTATCCCGCGGTGAGCTTAGAGACTTACAACGCTAGAATGTATATTTATTTTACTGGGTTTCTTACTTGAATAAATGTACGAAGAGGGCGCACGAGATATAAAGTTCGAGTTTGGTCATGAATTAATTTTTAAGCCTTTACACACTGAAATTCTAGAAATCACAGCAACTATTCTTGTATTATGTTTTATTATACCTTGTTATCTTGAAAGGCATTCGCTTTTGAAAACAATACATTGCAAAAAAACATTATTCATCGTGGTTTCAAAATGCATGAAACTATGGTAGTAGAGGAAGATTTCTTTGGGCGGATGAAAGTAAAGGGTCCATACGGTAACACCGAAATTATTCGAAGATTTACACTAGTGAATGAAAATGGGATGTCTGTTCAACTTATCACATATGGTGCCGCGATAACATCAATCAAAGTGCCTGACAAAAATGGAACTGTCGAGGACGTTGTCCTAGGATTTGATAGGTTGGAGGGTTAGTGTGATCTTGATAGTTAGATTATAATAAAAAATAATGAACAAAGTTACAAATATTAATGATTAATCACTTTTAAGAATTACAGGGAAAGCCTTTGCTTTAGCATTTTTTAGTTACTCTATGATGATATTGATAGTACTGAAACAGTGAAAGCCTGTTGTTGCACAGACTAAATGCATTTTATTTTTAACAAGTTTAATATTGTTAATGATAGTACTTGTAAGTTGTAGGCCTAAAACGTAAAGGAACAGATCTATTCAAATTTCAAGATTAAGATATGTGAATATTTGAAGTTGTGGGTAAATATTTTTAGTTCTCATCTCCATAGATTATTTTTTTTTATGAATTCAGATGTATTTTATTCAAAATTAAATATTTTTGAAAGTGCTAAAGCCTAAACAGAAGTTGTGCATAAGATGTCAAATACAACTACAAGTTCTTAGGTTATTGTTGAAAAATTTAATAGATGATTCAAGGCACATGTCAAACTCCTGTTGGACTGAAATGCCAATTAGCCCACCTTATCACAAGAATGAAATGAGCTCTCAGTCAAATTTATCAAAAATTTAATTTTCAAAGAAATATTTGCGCAAAATAGTAAAACTGCATTAAAATTTTGTGAATTTATCTTATTTGACTTTTCTTCAGTTTTTCACTTTATTATCAATATAAATCACAGATTTTGGCACACACAAATGTTACCCTATCTATTGTTTAAAAATGAATAGAGAAATGTGTATATATATATATATATATAATATATAGTC